AAACATACCTTTAGAAGCCACGATTGAAGCCCAGTGTGTCTGATTCGTGTGAGGAGCGGTGTTGGGTGGACCTAGCTCTCCCGGGGTGAATAAACAGTGTAGTCAAAAACAAAGGACATTTAGCTCTGCAGTGACTATTCATGTTATTTGCATTATGGGGAAATGATAGTGTAATTAGCTTCTTCAGGTAAAAAGTAAAGAATAAAAATCTAGTTAGAAATGGGATTAGCCTGGTATTGATTTGGGGTGTAGAAGGGGAGAGCAGACGCAAGATATTGTAGAGATAAGCGTTCCTCTCTGTCTTCGGCACCTGGCACATGGAATCGCTAGATCATATGGTCGTTCCGTTTTTAACTGTGAGGAACCACCATACAGTTTCTGCAGCAGCTGAACCAGTTTTCATCCACAGCAGCAGCGCACAGGGCTTCCAGCGCCTACCTGCCTGTCCTCGCCAGGACATGGGGGGGCTTTTATTTGTTCTTGTTTTATCTTTTGTTTTGTCGGTACTCTGATGGGTATGAAGTGGTACCTTGTGGTTTTGATTAGCATTTCCCTAGTGATCAACACTGAGCATCTTCACCTGTGCTTATCCTCACATTTCTGTATCTTCCTAGGAAAAATGCCTTCAAGTCCTTGGCCCATTTTTAAAATGGGTTGTTTTGTTGCTGTTGAGTTTTAGGAGTTTCTTATATATTCTGGATATTAACCCCTTATCCTATATATGATTTGCTGAGGTTTCCTCCCGTTCTGTGGGTTGCTTTTTTACTCTCTTAGTAATGTCTTTTTCTTTTCTTTCCTTTTTTAACCCTCACTCAAGGAGCGAGAATATTTTTCCCATTGATTGTGTGTGTGTGTGTGTGTGTGTGTGTGTGTGTGTGTTTATTGATTTCAGGGAGATGGAGAGAAAGAAATATCAATGATAAGAGAGAACCACCGATCAGCTGCCTCCTGCACACTCCACACTGGAGATCCAGCCCACAACACCTGGCATTTGCCCTGACCATGAATCAAACTGTGACCTCCTGGTTTATAAGTCAATGCTCAACTACTGAGCAACACCAGCCAGCCTCCAGTTAATTTTTAGAGAGAGTAGAAGGAAGGGGAAAAAAAAGGGAGAGATAGATAGAAAGATAGATAGATAGATAGATAGATAGATAGATAGATAGATAGAGGTGCAATTGGTATTGCAAGGTGACGGGGTGTGCACAATGACACTCTAACCACTGAGCAACCCTGGCCAGGGCAATGTCTTTTGATACACAAAATTTTTTTTCATGAAGTCATATTTGTCTATTTTTTCTTTTCTTACATGGACCTTTCAAGTCATAACACCAAATATTGTTCTGTGTCTTACTTTTAGATCCATTTTGAGTTAATTTTTATATGTGGTTTTAGGGAAGGGTCCAACTTCAGTCTTTTGCATGTGGATATCCAGTTTTCCCAGCATCATTTGTTGAAAACACTGTCCTTTACCCCATTGAATGATCTTGACACCCTTGTCAAAAATGATTTGACATTGTCTTTGAGCATTTATTTTTGGACTCTATTCCCTGTCTGCCAGTGCCACACTGTTGATTACTGTAGTTTTATAAAAAGTTTTGAAATGAGGAAGTATGAGTCCTCCTTTTTTGTTCTTTTTCAGTATTATTTTGGCTATTCATGGTCTCTTGAGATTTAGTACAAATTTTAGGATAAAATTTTCTATTACTGAAAAAAAAAAGTCTGGGATTTTGATAGGATGGCAGATCACTTTAGGTAGTATTGGTATTTTAATATTAAGTCTTCTAATCCATGAACATGGAATGTGTGTTTTTATCATAAAGAGTGTTGGATTTTTCAACTGCTTTTTCTTCATCGATTGAGCATGATTATGTGGTTATTTTCTTCATACGTTGATGTGACTTCAGTAACACACAAAATCTCTGCTCCTTTACAGCTCCGATCTCTTTGGTTGTTAATGTCACACAATTGCATTTTTATACATATATGCCCAAAAACATAAACTAATAATTTTTAAATGCATTATTAACTGCATTAGTCTCTTAAATCGTGTAGAAAACAAAAAAGTAGTTACAGACCACTATTACAATAATACTTGCTTCTATAATTGCCCATGTATTTGCCTTTGGTGAGATCTTTATTTCTCCATGCAGTGTCCTTTTATTCGCAGAGCAGGACTCTCTTGAGCATTGCTTGCTGGTTAGGTGTAGTGGTCACAAACTCACTCAGCTTTTGTTTATTTGGAAATATCTTTATCTCTCCCTCACTCTGGAAGGACAGTTTTTGCCAGATAAAGGATTCTTGGTTGATGGGGGTGGGGAAGCACTTTGAATATATTGATGGACTGTTTGCTGGCCTCCCAAGTCCATTAGGTCTTTTTTAGGGACAGTTGCTGTTGATCTATTTTTTTTCTTTGACTAGCCATGCTGTCCTATCTCTTTGAATGCCTGTGAGTGCTGAACACTGGACATGTGAAGCTAATAATGTGGTGACTGGAAACCAGGGTTTGCTTCTTGTGCTGGTAGGTGCAGGTTGTCTCTGCCTGGGATCAGCCTGAGGGGTAAACTTAAGGTCTTCTCGGGTCTCCCCTGAGCCCTTCCCTCGGTGTGCACAGTCACTTTCTGGTTTCTCTGTGCATGTTGTTGTTCTTGAATGTCATCGTCTGTAATGTCCGCTCCCAAAAGTGGAGAAAGCAAAAAGTGAAGGGGTGGGAAGTATCACCGTTTTAAATCCCCGGGGAGAGGGAGCGACAATATGGCCTGCTCTGCCTGCACTCCGTGGAGGAGAGTCCCAACGCCTGAGGACAGGGCTCTTTCTGCTCACCCGGCTCCCTCACGTGTGTGCAAGCTGCTGCTGTGCTGAGAGCGAAGCTGGCCAAGTCTTCCCTGGAAGTTGCAATCCTTGGACAGACTAGAGTTTCAAAATAGTTAGTTTCCGCTAGTGCAGCTGTTGCCCAGGTGAGGAGACAGCTACCTACTCTGCATCTTCCCATAATCCCAGGATTTGTGTTTCTAACAAATTCCCGGGGGATGCTGATGCTGGACCACCCTGAGAGTGACTGACCTTACCTCTTCCGGCTCTGTCTTTAGGCTCTACTATACCTGCGAGCCTTTCTTCTCCGGATGCAATGTAGTAAGTTAATTGTACTTTTGCATTGCAATAAGCAACAAGCTTTTTATTGATGTAAACGAGTTTCCTTTCTTTATGAAAAAAGCGGGACCTGTGGTCTGTGGGCTGCTCCAGGTTAGGGAGCTTTGGGTGCCCTGTAGGGGCCTGAGGGGCATGTGTGGAGGTGGGAGGAATGCCATTGTTCAGTATGAGCTCCGCCACTTCCCTTTCCTGTCTGTAAACTCAGTGATGACAAGATCTGCTCTGCAGGTTGCTTTTAGTAGGTGGTCTGTGTGGAGTATCTCGTGTGCATGTCTGGCACATGGTCATCTTAGGTCACATTTACTGAGCACTTTGACTACAAGTTGCAGAATTAAGTTAAAAGGTGATTTTTTTTTTTTTAAATGCCTTTTCCTAACAAGTCTGGCGATGGGGTGGTCCTGGGATTGGTTCATTTAGTGCTCAATAGTGTCAGAGGAACCAGGTTCTCTCCGTCCTGTCACTTGTGTTTAGAGCTGTCCCCTCATGACGAAACTTTCCCAGAAGCTCCTTTCCCTGCAGACTTTCCTAATGGCCGCTGCTAGTGAGAGTCCCTGCTGGGGGGAGGCCGGGAGCACAAGGCCTCTGGGCAGCTTGCTCTTCAGGCTCGGTTGGTCAGAGGGGTAGGGCAGCCGCACTCCCTCCCCCAGGTGACTCCCTCCCCCAGGTGACGGTGGGTCCCTTTGTCCTGAAGGGGCCCCTGGCACTGACAAAAGGAGAGGAAGTCTAGGCTATCCAGAATGCTGCCGGCTGTCCTTGGCTTACTCCAGGCCGAGTCATCTTTTTCTTAGCAAGGGCATGAGGGCCTGTGCACCAAACGATGTTTGCTTCTGAGAGGAAGTGAGGCTGTGGGAGGACTTGTCTATAGCCTTACTAGAGGCCCGGTGCACTCAATCTGTGCACTCGGGGTCCCTCAGCACAGTGGGGAGGGGGCCCTGAGCTGGCAGTCGGGTCGCCTTGGGCGTGGGTGTGGGGGAGCCTTTCTTTTCCAGGGACACTGCTTAGGGTCACTTCTATCCTGTTCCTAGAATCGGGAACAAGTGCCTATCTCCCAGGTGGCCTCACCTGGCTGTGCCGTGGCCACCAGAGCCTGCGTCTCTCCTCAGTGGGCTGGTGTGGCTGCTTGTATAGATACGGTTATTGATGGTGGGACACATTCCCTGTGCCCACAGGAGAGAGCGCTCCCTGTAGCCACTTCAGAGGGATGATGGAGAAGTGGCCCACTTTAAGAAAACCTGACCATATAAGGAGGAGATCTCAATTACAGAATAATGTCTCACTCGGCCAGAAATTCATGGCAGGTTTCCTAGTGCATTTAAAATAGGATTTGTGTGTAAAAATACCATTTGCTCACAGGAGCCCATATTTTCTGAAAAGGGAAATATATACTTGTATTGGGCATTTGGGTGGGATAAGTAGGATAAAAATAAAATCTTACAAATATAAGAATTGGAAACCAAATTCCACTTTTAATTCTACAAGGTTTATATATAATTCTACTATCTTACCCTCGCCTTCTGCCCAGGGCGTGCCCAGCAGAAATAAACACGCAAGATCTGCACGCAGCTCAGGAGAGCTGTGGCTGGTGGACTGCGGGACCAGAGGCCCCGCATGCCGCAGCCTCGCCCACCCTGTCGTTTGTTTGGGAGGCCCCCTCCGTCCTTACACCCTCAGTCCTCACGGCTGCACCTCCTCCAGGTGGGGCAGTGAGTGGCGTCAGAAACTGGCCGCCCCTCCTGTCGCCACAGGCTCCTGTCACCACAGGGACACGTGCTGGCGGCTGGCGGGCGGGGGCGGGCAGCGTGGGGAGGGGCTGAGTGCGGTGCTGACAGGTGTGACTCCTTTCCTTTCAGAAATGTTCCCACTGCCAGGAGGCAGGCGCCACCCTGGGCTGCTACAACAAAGGCTGCTCCTTCCGCTACCATTACCCGTGTGCCATCGACGCAGGTAAGACGGTGTCAGAGCGTCCGAGGGGGGCGGACACTTCCTCTGCCGCCTTTCCCTTTGCTGTAGTTCTTTGTCTTTTTTGACCCTGTGCTGTTTGTAAATTCTAAAGGAAATGCAGCGAGGAGAATAAAAAAGAGTGAAATGGGATAATTTTTTTAAATAGCAGTTTAATTTGTATAATTCACACATAATTCACCTAAGTGTGCAATTCATTGGTTTTTAGTGTATTCACAGATATGCAGCCATCACCACAGTCAGTGTTAGCACAGCTCCTCACCTCAGAATAAGCCCTGCATCCTTCAGCTAGCAACTCCCGCCCCTGAGCAACAAACAACAGTCTGCTTTCTGTCTCCATGGATGTGCTGTTCTGGACATTTCATATCAGCGGAATAGACAGATGTGTGGCCTTTGTGTCGGCTTCTTTTATTTAGCATAATGTTTTTCAGGTTCACCCATATTGTAGCATGTATCAGTATTTCATTTTTATTGCCAAGTAATATTTTATTTTAAGGAGATATCTTTTTATTTACTTACCAATTTGATGCACATTTAGGTGGTTTCCGCCTTTTATTACTACATAATGCTGCTGTGAACATTCATATACAGGTCTCTGTGCAGACTTATTGTTTTATTCTCTGGGGCGTAAATCCAGGAGTGAAATTACTGGATAAATGATAACTCTTTGTTTAACCTTTTGAGGACCTGCCAGACTCTTTTTCCAAAATAGCTGCGCCCTTTTACATTCCCTCCAGCTGTATGTGAGGGTTCCAGTTCCTCCATGTCCTCATCAACCCTTGTTACATTTTTTTATGAATAGTTTATTGATTTTGAGAGAGAGAGAAACATCGATGAGATACACATCAATCTGCTGCCTCCTGCATGCCCCCTACTGAGGATCAAGCACCAAAACTCAGGCATGTCCTCTGATCAGGAATTGAACCGGCGACCTCCTGTTGTACGGGACTGAGCCACCCGACCAGGGCTTGTTTGTCTTTTTAGTATAGCTCTCCTAGTGAATTTGAAGTAGTAGCTCATTGTGATTTTGATTTGCATTTCTCTGGTGACTAATGATGTTAAGCGTCTTTGGTGAAGTTCATTTTATCTATTTTTCTCTTATTGCTTTTTCTTAAATCTAAGAAACCATTGCATAATCCAGAATCACAAAGATGTATGCCTATGTCTTGTCCTGCAAGCTTTGTAAGTTTAGCCCTTACATGGGTCCTTGGTCCAGCTTGAGTTAATTTTTATACCTGGTATGAAGCAAGAGTCCAGTTCAGTTTTTTGCACATAGATTCCAGTTGCCCCAGCATCGTTTGTAGAAGAGACTAATCTTTCCTCATTCAGTGATCTTGGCACCTTGGTTGAAAACCAATGGACCAGCCTGGCTGGCATGGCTCAGTGGTTGAGTGTCAACCTACTTATGAACCAAGAAGTCACAGTTCCATTCCCAGTTGGGGCACATGCCCGGGTTGTGGGCTTGATCTCCCCAGTGTGGGTCATGCAGGAGGCAGCCAATCAATGATTCTCTCTCATCGATATTTCTCTCTCCCCCCCCCCTTCCTTTCTCTCTGAAATCAATAAAAATATATTTTAAAAGAATAAAGAAAGCCAGTTGAACATACAAGTATGTGCTTATTTCTGGACTCCTCCAGAATACACTGTCTTGATTACTGTAGCTTCATGATACATTTTGAAACTGGGAAGTGTGAGCCCTCTGATTTTGTTCCTTTTATTTAAGATTATTTTGGCTATTCTGGGTCCTTTGCTGTTCCATATGAATTTTAAGATCAACTTGTAGATTTTTTTAAAAAAATATATTTTATTGATTTTTTACAGAGAGGAAGGGAGAGAGATAGAGAGCTAGAAACATCCACCAGCTGCCTCTTGCACACCCCCTACCGGGGATGTGCCCGCAACCAACGTACATGCCCCTGACCGGAATCGAACCTGGGACCTTTCAGTCCGCAGACCGACGCTCTACCACTGAGCCAAACCGGTTTCGGCAACTTGTAGATTTTTGTAAAAAATACCATTGAAATTCTTATAGGACTTGCATTAATCTGCAGATCAATTAGGGAATATTTCCATCTTAACAATAGTCTGCCTTCCCACCCATGATCATGGATGTCCTTCCATTTATTTCAGTTTTTAACTTATTCTAATGATATGTTGAAGTTTTCAGATTATGTTTTTCATATTTTTGTTAAATTTATTCTTAAGTATTTTTTAAATTTTTTGGTGGTATTGGAACTATAAATTTAAATTTCAGATTTTTCATTGTGAGTATATAGAAATACAATTGATTTTATTATATTGATCTTATATCCTGCATCTTTGCTCAACTCATTGATTTAAAGTTTTTAGTTACATATCATCTGCATCAAGTTTTACTTCTTCCTTTCCAGTCAGATGCCTTTTTTTTTCCTTGCCCAATTGCCCTGCCTAGCACTTCTAGGGCAAGGCTGGGTAAAAGTGGCAAAGCTGACATCCTTGTTTTGTTTCTGACCCACCAAGTAGTCTGATAGCGGTGGGCTTTTAGCTGTCCGTGAGCGCTCAGGAAACTCCTGTGTTCCTGGTTTGTGGAGTGTTTGCCATGAAAGGGTTCCCAGTCCACTGAGATGATCAGAGCAGTGTTTGGCCGTGTGGTGCTGAAGGGGAAAAAAAAGCCTTTGTCCAAGAAGTACCGTCCAGTGATCAACGCAAAAGGCTTGAGTTCTGAATCAGCTCGGCAGTCTGGGGGATCCTTTCTCCTCTAACGTCATGTCTCCTCAGCGGGTGTTCTCACCAGTGACTCTGTGAGCATGAGCCGCATCTCAGACCTTCGCCCTCGCCCAGCTGGCCCGCACCCAGTGCCTGCAGGTCAGGGCGGGAGAGAATGGAGGGATGAGCAGCAGCGAGCAGCGCGGTGCCTGTTATCTGAGTCCTGTGGGTTCCGAAGGGACAGGTCTTCCGTGGGAGCAGCGGTGCGACTGGGCGGGGGGTCTGCGGTGGGTTTGGCCGGGAGAGGGTGGAGGGCGGGGGTGACGGGGTGACGGAAGCTGGGCAGCTTCACAAGGTCACGGTGCCTTGGGCATTTCTGGGTGTTGTGATGACTGAGTCACAGTGACCAGAGGCCTGTGCTGCTCTGGGGGCAGGGACTTGTGTTCGGCCCTCCGTGCCTACAGGAATTCTCTTCTGTGTAGGAAGGACCTTTGCATCCCCGAAAGGCAGTCACTGATTGACCTTCCTTCCAATAATAGTGGAAATAGGTCCCAGGTTCAAGAGCCCCCTGTCTCATGGAGTGAGGAAACGTTGGCCATTTTTGCCTCTGCCTTGCTGCCCCCCTTCCAGACCTTTCCAAGCTGCTGGTTTCTCGGGGAAACTTTGATTTCAGCTCCCACACCATCCACATTTTGTGACATCATGGTTAGCTGTGTGGTGTGGCTCGTTATGTCACAGGCGCCAGGTTTGGCTCCAGGTGGGAAATGCAGAGTGAGAGCATGAGTGCTGGTGATGCAGTGAGCCCCAGGCAAGACCAAAGGGGAAGCGCTGTGCTGGCTGTGCTGGCTCCAGAGTAACTCCGCTGGGAGTGCGCAGAGGATCTGGCCTGGAGGGACTCCTCCCCCTCTCCTTCACAGAAGCCACTCCGCAGCCAGCCGCTGTCCCTGCTCTCTGCTTGCAGACTCGGGTCTTGCAGACAGGGGTTCAGCCTGGCAGGTCATTAGGAATGACTGGTGTCTGGCCCCTCCCTTCTGCTGCCTGCTGGTCCCCTCAGCGAGGCAGTGTAGGCTGCCGTCCCAGCCGGGATTCTGTCAAGATAAAGCACTCACTGTGCCTCTGAGGTCGCTGTAGATGAGCGGAGACGGTGTCTGGGCCTGGCAGGGCAGAGCGCATTCATTAGGCCTCGCTCCGGAGCTCCCCACCAGCCCGGGGCTGTCGGGTGCGTGTGGGTGTCCACACCGTTTGTAGGAGCCACTCAGTGTGCTCTGCGTTCAGCTCAGAGAAGTGAGCTCACCCTCTGGGCTTGGAGATGTGCCAGCTGGTTGACCGGACAACCTGTGGGTCTTCCAGCTCCAGTGATGGTCAGCGAGCTTCCCTCTCTTCACTGCAGTGCTGACAAGGCCTCCCCCGGCAGCACGGGACTTTGCCAGCAGCTTCCAGGGAGCAAACTGAGACCGGCTGCCGGCCACGGGGCCAGGCGCCTGGTCAGAGACCTCAGAGAGGTTTGCTGGCCTTTTCCTGCCTTGGCTCTTCCTTGAGCGGGGACAGGTCCCCGGGCCCTTCCGGGTGCGCGCTCTCCGGCCGGGACCTTGCGCTTCCTGGCGGCCGCGGGTATGAGGACAGACGGGCGTCCGTCCATCGGCTTCCTGCTGGGAGGCCCTGCCGAAGGCGGACACGGTGGACAGATGTTCAGGAGGCTGCTGTCTCCACAGATCCCTGGTGCTGGCTCCCGGCTGCTTAGTGTGGCTCACATTGTTTTATTCTTTTCTGCTTTTTAGCTTCAGGGAACATGCTTCCTAACGTGCTTCACCAACGGTCCGTGCCAGTGTTCACGGCTGCAAGGGCATCAGGGCGCCTCGTGCTTCCTGACAGCCGCTGTGCCCCGGGCTCGCCACGGCTCCTTGGCCAGCGCCTCCGAGTGCCAGTCTCCCCTCGCCGCTCGGAAGCGCGCTCTGGCGTGTTGCGCAGGGAGCCCGGTCGCGCCATGTACTTGTGGGTTCTAAGTGAACGCACTTCGTTTACCGCGTGCTCCGTGCTCGAGGGGGAGGGTGCGGGCTTCCCGAGTTCTGGCCCCGGGTTTGCCTCAGAGACTCGAGGACGCAGAGGGCAGTGGGGAGGGTGCAGGCTCAGCCGCATTATGAAAGGCCTTTTTTATTTGTGTAGAATAAGAGGACCCTGCATTTTTTCATTTATGTTTCCTTGCTTTCTTACCTTTTCACTTGCAGTCGGTGGGTACTCAGGCTGCTAATCTGGACCTCCGTTTAAGCCTGAGTTAAATTGCAAATTTACAAGGCTAAGTACCGTGGCTGCCTCCGACACAGTGCCTGGGAGCAATCTGAGGCTGTGCGATCAATATTTATTAGCATTCTGCCACCACATCTTGCACCAGTGACCTGGCTGTCGGTCTCTGGGAGCTGGTGTGCGGCGTGGACTCATTAATGAGATCTCCTCGCCCACGCCTCGCACTGCCCGGGCGCCCGGGAGCTCCACTCACCTGCAGGCTGTCACTGAGGATGCTGTCACCGCGTTAGAAGTTGGAATGAATCATTTTCCTCCGAGGATTAATGGCCCCTCTCGGGGTTTCTCTCCTCGGAAGCGTTTAGCGTGTATTAGGCAGCTCGTGTGGGGGCTTCTCCCTGTCTCCGGGGGCGGTGGGGGGGGGCATCGGCTCCCGGCCTGGCCTCCCTCCTGCCTCTGACCGAGGCACGGCTGGGCCTGCGGGGGCTTCGCCTAGAATTGGGAGGGTTCGAAGCAGTATTTATTAGATTGCTTCTGATTATTAAAACAATATGATAACAGGATGGAAATACAGAAAAATTAAATTCCCTATAATTTTACTACCCAAAGAAGAACCACTGTTATAATTTGGTAGATTTCCTTTGTCCTTTTGTAATGTATATAAATATTTTGATAAAATTGGGATTGCACTCACTCACACATTTATATATCCTGGTTTTTCAAACGATTTTACATCATGAGTATTCTCATATACCGTTAACTATTTTGAAATGTTAATTTCTAAGTGATACTTCATGTGGGGGGACCTTATTTCCTTGGGGTGTCTCTGATGTTTTCCTCTTGGAAATCATAGCGTGGGGACCCCTTATCGCCACATCGGACCCTGCCGGTCCCGGCCTGTCAGCCGCCTGTGCCCCGCCAGCCCCGCTGACTGCCCCTCTGTCTTGCAGATTGCTTGCTACATGAGGAGAACTTCTCGGTGAGGTGCCCCAAGCACAAGGTGAGTCCAGCCCCGCGCCCCCTCACAGGTGGTGGGGGGCCGCCTGCTCTGGCCTGGGGGCCTGCGGTGGGGTCGGCACCGGGTGGAGACGCTTGTTGGAGAGGAAGTCAAACTCAGTAACTGCTGATTCCCATGTTAGTTTAGTGGAGCCCCACTTCACAGGTTGGGGTGAGTAAGGCTGGTTGTAGGCCTTGATACATAAGCAAAGGCGGGTTCCCAGCCAGGGAAACAGAGCTGACTCCAGGACTTGGGGGACCCTCAGCGTCTCCAGGTTTTACTCCAGTGGAAGCAGGGGGTCCGCAGTTGGCAGTTACCGCTGTTCCCTGTTCCCCACTTGGCTCAAGAGGTGTCTCGCCCTGTCTGGCTGGGTCTGCAGACTGAAGGGTCCCGGGTTCGATTCCAGTCCAGGGCAAGTACCTCAGTTGCAGGCTCCTGGCCCTGGTCGGGGCATCCAGGAGTGTGTCTCTCTCACATCGGTGTTTCTCTGTCTCTCCCTCTCCCTTCCACTGTCTAAATTCAATGGAAAAAATATCCTCTGTGAGGTTTAAAAATAATAAAACCTTTTTTTAAAAAAAAGAGGTGTCTCTGGGTCCCCTCTTCTGGGACAGGACAGAAGATAGGTTGCTGGTCTGTGTCTAAAAGCGTGTGTGTGAGTGTGTGTGTGTGTGTGTGTGTGTGTGTGTCTTTCTGTCTGTCTGAGAGAGCATGTGTGTGTGTGTGTCTTTCTGTCTGTCTGAGAGAGCATGTGTGTGTGAGAGTGTGTGTGTGTGTGAGTGTGTGTGTGTGTGTGAGTGTGTGTGTGTGAGTGTGTGTGTGTGTGTGAGTGTGTGTGTGTGTGTGAGTGTGTGTGTGTGTGTGTGTGAGTGTGTGTGTGTGTGTGTGAGTGTGTGTGTGTGTGTGAGTGTGTGTGTGTGTGTGAGTGTGTGTGTGTGTGAGTGTGTGAGTGTGAGTGTCTGTGTGTGTGTGAGAGTGTGAGTGTGTGAGTGCGTGTGGAGAGGAGGCAGGGACAGCAGGAACCAGGGCAGCATGGAGGCTGACTGCACCTGGCAGCGCCTGCCGCAGCCCGCGCTCCTCTGGCGAGCTCACAGTGACCCCTGGTGGTCACCAGCCTTCAGTGTCCAAGGAGGGCCAGAAAGTACCAGAAAAGGGTCCTCCCCAGAACGCTCCTAAAGGTGCTCACGGAGGCTTCTCGTTGAATTACTTCCAGAGATGGACCGTGGGATCTATTTTTACTTAATCTACATGTTTTTTTAAACTTCCCTTTTTTAACGGGCACGCTTTGCCTCAATACCCTGTCTGAGTCTCCTGTTTGTCACTCAACACTGACTCTGCTTTCTCTCTCCTTTCCATGTGCTGTTCCTTTCCTCCCTCTGCCACCCTGACCCCGCTCCTCCCGTCCCTCCTGCCTGTCCTCGGCTCTGCCCGCGCCAGCCTCCCCTCCCATGCCCTCTCCCCGCCTCGCAGAACAAGACCGCGAAAGGCAGCCTCAGCACAGAGCAGTCGGAGCGGGGGTGAGGGGGGATGTGCCGTGGGAATGGAGTACAGCAAGCACAGGTGAGTCGGGGGCTGGCGGCCCCTGCCCTGCTCCTCGGCCAGGCTGCAGCGGGGGCCGGGAGCTGCCAGCACCAGGTGGAGGACGTGGTGGCCTGTGTTGCTTAGGAAAGGGGGGGCTCAAACCAGGGTGTCGGAGTGACTGTTCTGACATCAGGCCTGGCATGTGCCCGGGGGCAGGAGCCTCGGGTTGAGGCCAGGCTAGCGAGACATCATTGTCTGTGGAGCTTACGGTGGGTTTTCCTCTGGAAAACAAATTCCCCGAGCTTTGTCATCTGACATCTTCCCGTGCTCTGAAGGACTTGGTATTACACAGGGAAGGAAGCTCCCGGAAGATTCCGTAGGCTTCAGCGCGGAGGCAGTTCAGCGGCAGCCCGGGAGGTGGGCTTGTGCTCTGAGCGCGTCTGCGGGCTGCGGCCGGCCGGCGGCGGAGTCTGCGGGCGGATCACCAGCTCAGGCCCTGGACGCGGCAGGGCCCTGGGGCAGGAGGAACAGACTGCAGAGCGGGGAGAGGAAACCAGAACAGAACCGGCAGGATGGACGCTCCTGGCAGACTCTCCTCCCGAGGGGGCCCTGCTTTACTCCGGGGTCTGAGCCCCTGCGTGTTCCCTCTGCTGCTTACAGCGGCTCTGCTTGTCTGGACCACCTGACAGGCCTGGGGAAGTGCACTTCACTGCGGAATGTGGCGGACTCTGCCCCGGGGCCGGGGGGGGGGGGGCAGGATGGGAAGCTGTCCAGCGAGTGGATCCGTGGTCATCATCAGTGGCAGCCCTCGGCCCTTCGTGTCCCTGCACTTGGGGTCACTGTGCCTGGGCGCTCCGCCCCATGCTGTGCACTCCCCTCCACCTGGCAGCGCTGCCCTCTCTGGGGACCACGATGGCCATTCCTGGGGTCTCCGGGGCACCGGCTGCCGTTGGTCGTTTGGGCCATTGTTTTAACGTGGGATCCCACTTGTGTGCGAGAGGAGGGGAGGCTGGGCCCTGGCCTCTTCTGGGGGTTGTTCTCCGTGTCTTTCCATCCACTATTCCTGGCCCTGCAGCTGCCAGTCCGCCCTGCAGAGGGCAGGGCAGGAGCCTGGCTCACCCCTGAGGTTGGCCTCACTGCCCCGTCCGCACGAGAGAAACCAGCGCCCCTCGGCACGGCCCTTTCCAGTCCGCGGAGGTTAAATGGCCTCAGAGGGAAAGGATGACTTACTGCGTCCTGTCCTGTCCGCCTAAAATGTGTATCTTCATCTCCTTCCCCGCGAGGCAGGACCCCTTGTCCTGGTGTCCGAGTTGAGCAGTCCCCTCCTCCAGGCCCGGGGCGCCCGCTGTCCCCTTTGCGGGCTGGGCAGGAGCCCCGAGAGCAGGGCAGAGGCTCAGCCCCACCCAGAGGCGCGCTCATCGGGGGGCCACGCTGGGGGCCCGGCCAGGCAGGGGACAGGGTGTGCATGTGAGCCCCACTGCCTGCCGCTTCAGTTTCTTCCGTAAAGAGAACAACCTTTTGAGGATTCCGTTACATAAAACGTGCCCAGCGCAGCCTGCGTGAGTGAGGCCTCACAGCAGCTGGTGCACCACGCACAGCCCAGCAGCGGGGCCAAGGCTGCAGCTGGGGCTCTGCCTGCACTCCCCCGTCCATCACCTCCTGGGCCTAGGGGTGCACGTCCTAGTCTCCCACATGCTGTGGGACCTGCCACTTGTCCCTTGCCAGCCAGCAGTGCCAGAGAGAAAGCATCCTTGGGCAGCTATCCATTGGGCACCTCCTACCCATTCCTGAGTGTGTGGTGGGCTCCAGGGGACTGGTGGGCAGGGCTGTGGCAGCGAGGCCCCTGTGTCTGTCTTCCATCTTGTCCTGTAGTTAACAAGGAGCCCCCCTCTGCCCCCAGCCAGGCCCATGCGGTGGTTAGGAAGTAGGAACTCCATCGCCACTGCGTTGTCCTGGGTGCAGGGAGTGCCCCCTGCACACAGCAGCCTCTGGTTGGCAGCACACAGCCCAGGTGTGAGCGGGGGTCCTGACCCAGAGGGTACCTCCCTGGGCTGGCCCAGCGAAGTCCTGGGTTACGTTTCCAGAGGAGAGCGGGACTGGCCATGACCCCACCGCACACTCTGCTGCCCTGCACCGACCCCCCCTCCCCTCCCCCCACCCGCAGGAGCCACACGTCCTTTAGCCAGAGCCCTCCGTTCTGCCCCTGCTCACTTCAGAGGCTCTCATCACACTTGGACTCCGGGCCTCCTCCTAGGCCTGAGGCCGCCGCCCCCATCAGCTCCTCCGGGGCTGCGCTTCCTCCCTCGGGCTCTGCACTTGCTGTTCCTGGACCAGGAGGGCTCCGCCTCCATCCTCACTGACTGGCTTCCCCGGGGCCTCAGCATCACTTCCTCAGGGCCCTCCCTGTCTCTCCACTCCCCTCTCCGCAGCCCCAGCATCACTCCGCTCCCAGCCTCCTGCCACTGCTCTCCAGGGTCCTGGCCGAGGAGGACCCATCTGTGTGGGCCTGGAGCAGGCACGTGAGGGAGTGGGGTTAAAGGAGGCGGTGTTGGCTCACCTGCCCACCCCCTGTTGGTACAGATTGAGTGAGACCCCTCCCCCTGCAGCTGGGCCTGCAGGTCTGTCTGAGAGGAGAGAGCTGGCCAGGCTGGTGCAGGCCAGAGCTGAGGCTGGGGCAGGGCCGAGCTCGGGCTGTGGGAAGGCTTGGCCCAAGGGGAAGTCTTTGCCAAACATCGAGGTGCCTTTCTATCTCTTATTTTTTTGTTGTTTTTGTTTTTCCCCCCAAGATGTCCTTTTAGCGAGCATGGCAGACACTCCATGCGGGCTGCAGCTGCAAGTGTGCTCCCAGCACCCACAGCAGCTGAGGCTCCGGGCAGCGGCCGGGCCCAGGCCACCCCAGCCCCTGTGGCTTGGACCACGTGTGTCACCTCTCGGCTCACCAAGTGGCAGGGTCAGGCCTCTGTGTTACCTTGAAGTAGCGTCTGTGAAGCTACTGGCAGAGTGCCTGGCACATAGCAGGTGCTCCAAGCATTTTCTTCCTGTCCTCCCTACCCAGTTAGTGTTTTACAAGTGAGAAGTCGGGGTCCCATTCCATTTGAGACCATCTTGGGCCAGTCTCACCTCGAAGCCTGGGGAACAGCCTGTTGGGAGGCTGGAGGGAGCGCTGGGGCAGAGCATTGCAGGGTGTGCGCAGCACCTGTTCTCGTCACACCCCTGTGTCCCGCAGCCCCTGCAAGACTCGCCCCTCCGGTCATGGTTGGAGGTCCCAGTAGCACCTTGGTCGCATTTACGAAGGACCTTTGGTTCCTCTCGCCTCGGGCCGCAGCCCCAGCCTCCGGAAAGCCGAGCGGCAGAGGAGTCTGGCTGGCGCGGCCCCTGGGGAGGTGACCCTGTCCCATGGCTCCGAGAGCAGCGGGAGGCTCCGCACCGCCTGGTCCTCAGGCCTGGCCAGCGTCCAGGTTTACGTGGGGACACGGCCTGCTGCCTGTGGGCGCTCCTGTACCTGTGTGTGCGCTTTAAACAGAGCCTCTTAGCGTGCACACAGCCAGCGTGAGCTTTGCACATTAGTACGTGATGGAAGCTAAGGGCTGTGACGTCTGGGTTTCCCTGGGTGTGTGTGTGGGGGGCAGAGAGGTGAGCCTGCTCCCCAGAGCGCTGTCTCCAGGCTGTGCCAAGCGGGCTTCTGGGCCAGCCCTCTGGCCTGAGTTCCTCGGAAACTGCCGTGTCCCTGCGACCTTGGCACAGAGGGGGGACCCCACCCCACATGCCCCTGGAGGGTCATTCGGGCCTTCCTGAGCCTGGAGCTGGGGCTGGGAGAGGAGCCGCCAGCAGCAGGGTGTGGGGAGCTGGGCGGGCCCAGGGACAGGGCTGTCTGATGCAGAGCTGATGGCCGGGCGCTGAGTGGGGTCGAGCCGGCTCCCCGCAGGCTGGCTGGGGCTCGGCCACCTCGGTGAGGACCAGGTCGCCACTTGCTGAGCCCCTGCAGGCCCAGGAGGCAGTCCCCGGGGTCGGGAGTTCTCTCCTGGTTTCAGTTTCTTCCTTTGGTGCCCTGGGCAGGCGGGACTCTGTGAGGGGCCCTCCGTCTAGTCCCCGAGCCGCAGGTCATGGCTGCCTTAGGGGTGTCCGGCCCAGACCCCTGGGGGCTCCACCACTGGTCTAGGATGTCTCCCAGGTCAGCAGCTCCTTCGGGCCTGTGGCTGCTGGGCCCGTGGAGGTCCCCACACCCACTGTCTGCTCTGTCTTCCAGGTGAGACTGTGGAGATGAGGAGGAGACACTCGTGACGGATGGAAATGGTCCTACTGTGCAGCCACACCCCGCCCCGCCCCGCTGTGCCCACCCGCCTGCCAGCACCTCCCAAGTCCTTACATCACACTCAACCGTGACACCACAGGAAAGAGACCCAAGAAGTCAGAATGGCTGTTTCCATGGACACAATCTCCATAGTGACGATGCGGGGGGAGGGGGGAGGGGGAAAGGGAAAGGGTGGGGGGAATTAAAAGGGAGGGACAAAATATATATATATAAATCTATTTTTAGTCTGGAAAGACTTTGTTTAAATGAAAGGTGCGCTGTCCCTTTTGATTCTATTTTAAAATTATCTAGCTAAAGAACTCCAAATTGGTTCCAATAACGAAATTTAAATGTGAAATTGAACTCAACAAACTCTCATCTCAGCAAGGACGGGGTGTGGCTCTGCCTGTCAGCCTGTCTCCCGCCCACTCAGATCTCTAGACCCAGAATTGAAAGTAGAACACACCCAAACCATTTGTCATTAATTTCTCTCAAAGTGGGGAGTTGGGGGAGGGGAGTGGGGGTGGTCCATGTTTTCAAGAATGGGAGAATAATGTTTAAACACAAAAATAAATTTTTTCATTTCCAGAAACACTATTTATTTATTATTTTTAGATTTTATCTTTTTGGGGGTGAAATTGGTAGATGCCCGAGGTCACAGCTGTGAGCTGCGTCACTGAGGCCAGGGGAACCCCGCCTCCCGGGTGTGCAGGTGGGCGGCAGGGCCAGCCCAGTGGGGGCCGCGGCAGGACAGGAAGTCCGTGCGGAGGCCAGGGCTGTCTGAGCGGTGCGTAAGCTGGCCAGGACACCCTCAGCCCTTTATTCTTTCTGCTTTTGTTTTTATAAAGGAAAAGGGGCCTGTCGGTTGAACAGCCCCATGCTATGTGATTCTTTATGTTGTATTGTTTTGTTTTGTAAAGTGTATAATTTTTAAATATCTGAGTTTTAAAAAAAAAAGAAAAAGTACAAAAAAAATCCTTGTTAAGGCCTTAAGAAGGGGTTAGTGCATCTTTCAGGGGTCACTCTGCCGTGGGGATAAAATAGCTGTTTCACAAACAGTTTTATTTAAAAAAAATCAAAAAAAATAATAAACTTCATTTTAACCTTGTTTCCTTTTTTATTGATTGGAAAGCAGATGTGTCTCTCTGTCCTCCCGCTGCAGCCCCGAGTGGGGGGGGGCTCTGCTGCAGGGGAGCCGGTCTGCCTGGTCCCGCCACTCAGCGGGAGGGGTGCCCCGCCCCAGTGTGGGAACGGTCAGATTTACTTACGCTGATATGAGAACATATTTCCAATCAACATTAATTTTAAAGGTTATAAAAAAATAATGCCATGTTAATGGACTTTTTTAGAGAACAGAAACTCTGGAAGGAATGTTGTGAAGTAGAAATAAGCAATTACAAATGAGTTCTAGTGCGCTCATCAATTTGGGGCTGCAGAAATGGCAGATTAATTTCGTTTTAATGGCTGCCTCAGCCGGGTGGCCCATTTCTCATTGCACTGCCGGATGGAGGCATGGGCGGTGTTCTGTGTGGGCCGAGGACCTGCATAGCAATGATGGCTTCTGAGCTATTTGGCTTCCCGTCTGGTCTCAACTTGGCATTAACACAGTTCACGTGAAATTGATAGATTTCAGGTGTCAAGGGCTAAACTACAAAACTTGAAAAATATGCATCTTGAGGAAAATATTTTTCTGACAGCAAATGATTCTTCGTCATTTTGCCTTTTATTCCCCCTTTGACTTTCGATGTGTGAGCAAGGCCCCGTGACCGTCCGGGTCTTTCCTTGAAATGTGGTGACGGGGGTGGCGTGTCCCACACGCCCTCCTGCCCCAGCAGCTCCAGCTGCCCATGAGCATCTCGGTCCCCCACATTTGAGTTCTGTGCGTTTTATTGAACATATGTAACTGTTAGCAGTTTCAGGTTCATAGCAGTATTGAGTGAAAGGTACAGAAAGTTCTCATGTGACCCCTGACCCACCACCCACAGCTGCCCGCTACCAACTCCCCAGCCGCAGGGCCACTTGTTACAATGGGAGCCTGCTCTGACACTGTCACCCAATCCCACAGTGAGTTTGGGCACATGCATGACCCGTATCCGTCACAGCACACGGTAGTTTCACTGCCCTGAACAAAGCCCGCTGTGCTCCTGTCATCCCTAACGCCTGGCACCCACTGTCTCCAGAATTGCATTTTCCAGAATGTCCTGTGGGTGGAATCAGTGTGTCCTTTCCAGGGGGCTCCCTCCCTTAAGGGTGGCCTGCATTTTAAGGGTCCTGCATGTCTTCATGGCTTTTTTATTTTTTATTTTTTTAAATATATATTGATTTTTTTTTTACAGAGAAAAAGGGAGAGGGATAGTCAGAAACATCGACCAACTGCCTCCTGCACACCCCCCACTGGGGATGTGCCCGCAACCAAGGTACATGCCCTTGACGTGATCAAACCTGGGACCCTTCAGTCCGCAGGCTGACGCTCTATCCACTGAGCCAAACAGGTTTCTGCTGGCGGCTCATTTTATTTATTAGTTTTAGAGAGAGAGGAAGGAAGAGAGAAACATCTATTTTTTTACTTATTTATACATTCATGTGCCCTGACAGGATCAAACCCGAAACTGATGCTCTAACCCAGTGGTCAGCAAACTGCGGCTCTCGAGCCACATGCAGCAGCTCTTTGGCCTCTTGAGTGTGGCTCTTCCACAAAATACCACGGCCTGGGCGAGTTTATTTTGAAGAAGTGTTAGAAGAAGTTTAAATTTAAAAACTGGGCTCTTAAAAGAAATTTCAATCATTGTCCTGCTGATATTTGACTCTGCTGACTAATGAGTTTGCCGACCACCGCTCTAACCAGCTGAACTACCTGGCCAGGGCCCAGCGCTCCGTTCAGAATTTTGGTCCTGGACGCTGCTCCATTGCCCGGAAGTATCAGTGTATCCGTTCCCTTAATGGAGGGCGCCTTGGTTGCTTCCAAGTTGGGGCGATTAGGAATAACGCCGCTATACACATCCTATTTCTGCTGGGACATGAGAGTGTGATTGCTGGGTCACGTGGTAAAAGCATGTTTTGTTTTGAAAGTTGTGGCTTAAAACAAAATTTACCATCTTAACCAATCCGTGTGCAGCTCGGAAGTGCTCATCCATTCACGTTGTTGTGCAACCGATCTCGGGATCTCGGGGATCTTTCCTCCTGCCAAGCGGAAGCCGGCGCCCGTAAAGCCGCTGGGAGGCGGGCCCTGCCAGCCCCGCCCGCCCGCCGCCCGGCCGCGAACTCCTGCGCCCCCGGCGTCGGCCCGCGGGACTGCAGCCGCCCGCCGGGCCTCCGCGCCGAGGCCGCCGCCGGTCAGGTGAGCCGGGGGCCTGGCGCCCCGCGAGCTGAACTGGACGCAGGTTCTGCCCGGGAGGAGGCGCGGGCGTTTGGGCCGCGCGGGGAGGGGCACAGTGAGCCGGACGCCACCGGCTTTCCCGACGCCCAGGGCGCGGCCGCTCCCGCCCGCTTTCCCCAGCTCCCGAGGGGGCTGCTCCGCGGCGCTTCGGGGGCCCTGGCCGGTCACCGCGCCCGGGGGCCGGGCCCCGCGCGCTCTGCTCCGCCATCGTTCTGGCGTCACGCGGGCCTCAGCCTCGGTCGCAGTGTCCAGCGGCCCGTGCATGGACCACCGGTGACCTTCGTGCCCCGGGGGGGGGGGGGGTAGAAAAGGTGATTCTAAGGGAATAACGGGACTGGCCCGGAGAGGTCAGGCCCACACTGCGCAGCAGGAGCTCAGCGCTGGGTTCCCGATGGCCGGGCTGCTCCGTCACTGTGACCCGAGCGATTCCCGGGACCCCGCTGTGCCTTGGGGACAGGGAGCCGCCTGCCTTAGGCTGCGGGGGGACACGGGGTGAACAGCAGCCAGTGCCTGACCTCAGAAGCTGCCTCAACAACAGGGCCACGGGCCGGGCCTCCTGCCTCAGGGCGCCTGACTGCCTGTGCTGGGCCGCAGCCCCCGGCGGGAAGGGCAGGGGGAGGGCAGGGTGTCCCTCACTGCCCTCCCCCCCGCCGGGTGACTGCTGGGGAGCAGGACACCCACCCAAAGGCTGCATGAAGGCAATCTATGGAGGGCCACTCGCAGGCGCCCGCGAACCCCCTGACTGACAGTCCTGGCGGGAAGTGCTGCCTCCTGGGACGGGGCCAGGGGAGAAGCCACAGGCTGGACCCCAGAAGTCCCCAGGGGGCCTGTGAGTCTTGCCCTCCTGGTCTATTGTGTGGCCTCAAGACTGGTCTCCCTGCCTCCTGGAGGCCCAGGGACCCCCGGTCTCTCCAGCGCAGTGCCCAGCCAGCTGGTGAAGCCCGGCCTCCAGCTGCCTCCCGCCCGCTCCGCACGCCCTGCACAGGGCTCCGCTTTGGCCCCAGGCAGGTCACCTGGGCTTGCAGTGCCAAAGCCAAGTCCCCGTGAATTCTCCCCAGAAAGTCCTGCTCCAGCTGGGGACAGTGCCCCACGACCCTCACACAGTCTGCACAGCTGGCCTGGCGTCGCCACCTTTCCTGTGGACCAGCACCGGGGAGCAGGGGCCCCTCGCCTTCCCCCTGCTGCAGGCCCAGCCCAGCACCCAGCACCTGGGCACCAGCGGGCAGGAGACCATCCAAGCCCTGGCCACGCACACTGGGGCCTGGGGAAGAGCGGGAGGCCAGGCAGGCCAGGCGGGATTTGCAAACATGGAAAGCCAACACCAAGAGGCCACAGCGCTCTGAGCCAGAGGCACCCTGGGAAGAACGGTGCTCTGACTGTTGGGGAGTGAGGAGGCAGGCGATCGGGGAGGCAGGGACGGTTCTGGGACGAGGCTGCGACCACGTAGGGGTGAGCCTGAGAGACAGAGGCAGGATCAGCCTGGAAACCCCTGGTTCTTCCTCGGAGCCCGACAGAGCTGGGGAGAGAGGAGGGCGGGATTCTCCGGCCCCTGCACCTGCCCTTCCCGGCCCCTCCCTGCACTGACACGGTCATCCCACACAGGCGGCTCCGCCTCAGCTCCTGCTAGGACAGCCCGGGCTGCCCCGCCCACAGGGTGCGGTCAGGGCCTGGCCTGTCCTGTCCTAGGTGCCTGTGCGGTGCGGTGCGGTGCCCGTGTGCCCCAGGAGCCCCAGGGCACTGAGACAGCCATGGGGCTGCTGCCAGGGGAGGCGCTGTGGCCCCTGGCAGTGGCCACGGCCGTCTTCCTGCTGCTGGTGGACCTGATGCACCGGCGTGTGCGCTGGGCTGCGCGCTACCCGCCGGGCCCCCGGCCGCTGCCAGGCCTGGGCCACCTGCTGCACCTGGACTTCCGGGACATGCTGCGCTCCGTCAGCCAGGTGAGGGGGCGGCCACCGGGACCCTCCTCGCAGCGGGCAGGGTGGGCGTGAAGCCACAGGCTGGACAGGAGCTGAGCTGAGCAGGGGAGGCGGTGTGAGAGGCGCCCTGAGGAGGACATGAGTGCAGGGCCCAGAGGCAGTTCGCATTGTCCAAAGGTCAAAGAGGGGGTGGGACTTGGCAGTGGTTTGGGTTCCGCTGGGACAGGGTTGAAATGAGGTGAGGCTGAGTCCTTCTGTTTAAATATATGGTTATTGATTTCAGAGAGGAAGGGAGAGGGAGAGGGAAACACACATGATCAATGAGAATCATTGGTTGGCTGCCTTCTGATTGGGGGTGGAGCCCACAACCCAGGCTTGTGCCCTGACCTGTAATCTGTGGCCTCCTGGTTCACAGGTCCACGCTCAACCACTGAGCCCCCTGGCCGGGCATGGCCCCCTTCTGTTTAGATCAGGGAGAAAGGTCTCATGGGAGAATGGGGAGGGGAGTCTGCTCAGGAGCCCCGTTTCCATCCGATCTCTGTGGTCCTGGGGCCTCACTCTCACCTCTGTGGCCTCAGCTGGTCCCCCTGTAAAACAGGGGCTCACTTGGCCTGCTGACCATTCTGGTGACATTTGCAAACCCAGGGCCCCGGGGCCAGATAGTTCCTGAATCGCTCCCTGCTGGCAGCCCTGGGGTCCTGCAAGGTCAGGGCCCTGAGACGGGGAGAGCTCACCCAGCACCCCCCGCGTGCAGCTGCGGAGCCGCTTCGGGGACGTGTTCAGCCTGCAGCTGGCCTGGACGCCCGTGGTCGTGAT